GTGTGTGTGTGTGTGTGTGTGTTTAAGGGGTTAATCTAATCGCATTTAATTATATCCAATTATATCCATTTAATTAATATCCAATTAATTATCAAATTGCATTTCTCTTACAAAAAGGCACGTAAAATGTCATTGGATAATTTTTTATACGTTTATGCGGCTAGACTAAGTTTGTGTGGATATACCCTAACACATCTTAATAAAAATGTACACAGGAATGCACAAAGTGTCGTGTTGTATATTCTTGTGATTTAATTAAAATAGAATGTGTACATTATGTACATTGTGATTTCGATCTCGATTTCGGTTTATTTTAGATAGACTAAATGTACACAGCTTACATAATTGATTACCAGCCCTCGGGCTGAGTGTATGTTGTGTCGACGATTGGAACGCAACTTGCCGTATGCACAAAAGTGTCTTTAGTGATTTTACAATTGGAAAGACCCCAGATTTAGTATGGCTCAGTAAAACATTACTTATATTCTCTGTTGTCCATTTTGAGCACATTCCATTTAACGTTCGTAAGCATCATTTCATCCTTATCGTTTTCAAATTAAACAAGGATGAAACGATGCTCACGAGCATTGCGAACGTTAAGTTGAAACGTACCCTTTATGAAACAATAACAAAAACATTATAACTAGGTAAGAGTTTAAATTGCTTATTGCTTACAATAATATTTTGATTTATTTAGTTTTTAAAAATTTCATATATAATTATATATGTTTATGAATATTTACACATGCTCATATATATTTATATATATATATATATATATTTATCTATGAAAAAGGTTTGACTGGAACAACTATTATTAGAAATTAAAACCAAATATCGTTATTATTAAATTAATTAGAATAATGTAATACTATTATATCTCAAAAGCACCAACACAACTTTGATTTCAACTTGCACTAATCTTCCACCGTCTCTAAAGACGGTGGAGAAAGAGTTGAACTCAATATACCTATTTTGCACCAGTTTTCAATGAAATATTAAACACTGAAAATATATGAACCAGTGAAACAATACAATCGCATTGAGTGTGCGCCAGTATTGCACTAGCTTTTCGAACTGTGGAAAACGTTGTTTTCTATTTCCACGGAAAAAATAAGTATACTTAAGTACTCCTAATCGCACACATTCGAAGAAGGTCACATGCTGTCGACATGTAATTATCTCTAATAACTTCACGAATTAATGACACACAATTCCCATACCTTTATCTCCAATCTATTAAGAAAATTGTCTCGCACGTTATCGCACGTTATCGCACGTTTATTTCTAGCTTACCGTAATTTCTTGCGATTCCGATGATGGATGTTTAGCACGAGGAGGGAAAGACGGAACTGAAAATGGCGGATTCGCCGGGCTTGCTCGCTGGTCACGTGGCCGGAGTTGGAAAGGGGCGCGCGTCTCGCGCTTGTGTTTCGCGCGCGTCCTCGCGCGTGTAAACAGGAGAATCCGCCGCTCGTTAAAATATAAACGAAAGAAACACATAAAACACAAAACGCCGGCTGACTGTAGTGTACACGTTCCATCGGCGCGCTGGTTCACTTATATATTGGACGAACGGATGGGGGTAAGGGAGGCATTCCGTGCTTCTCTGACCACTCGTGGCCATCTCGGGTCTCCTCTTATCGATATAAGCGAGGATTACGCGTCCGCGAAGAGAAACGTCGCCGCTGCCGCCTCCGCCGCCTCCACCATCGTCGGAGAGTGGGAACAACACTCGGTTCGACAGCGAATGTGGTCAGGAATTCGATAATGCGAGCGAGATGGGAAGAATCTGCACAAATTTGCAGATGGACGATGATGAAATTCAATTACCGAGATCGTCTACGAAAACATGGTATCCTTCATGATCGCAATCGTATTCGATAAATTGATTGCTAGTAAATATCAACAAATTTGATAAATTCGCGACAAAAAAATTATAATTCTTTTTTGTTTAATGAATTATTTAAAATTCTGTAAAATATAAGGTAAAGTATAATAGGACGGGCGATGAGAAACAAAGATTTTTATATTATATTTTAATATAAAAACTACTTCCACTTATATGATATAAAAAGTACTTCCACTTCAATTGATATTTATATTGTATTTCCATGAATTATTATACAAGAGTGATATGAATTGCTATCTCCTTTTATTTGAATTCTTAACTTTCCTTAATCTAAATTTGATTTTATAAATTAAAAAGTAAAATAATTAAGACTAAAACAAAGACCAAATTCCAAGCTAGTGACAGTCAGCGCGGTTAATAAAACGCAAATTTTAATGTCAATAAAAATGTTAAAACATAAAAAGGACCTTAAGACGGTTTTATTCCATACTTAAACATTTCGACTCGATTTAAAATTGTTTTCAGCAACACAAAAAAATTATTATATAGATATACACTAAACATCCATCAAGATAACGTCATTCTCTCAGAATGCCAATTTTAAAGTAAAATCTTAATGGACATCTTTAATCTTTCGGTGTCTATTATATCTGTCTATACATAGACACAGTTACAAACATTCACGGGTAAGAATACACTTATTGTATTTGGTTTGTTAGAAAATTTGATGGATCCAGTTTTACGTTGAGTTCTAAAGTTCATTGACTTCATTTCATAATTGTCATTCTAAGAGAGTAACGTACCTTAAGGTTTAATGTATTTACGATAAGAATTTCCGTTTTTATATTGTTGAAGAAGATTCCAAATCGAGTAAAAATGTTCAAATAATGGAATCAGTAGATATGATAATGTCAAGATATAAAGCTGACTTAAGGTTCTTTTTATAATGTTTTAGCATTTATTATACGATATTGTAGTGCTTTGTTAACCGCGCTAACTATCATTAGCCTGGAATTTGGCCTTTGTTTCAGTGATTCGATATTTTTCGATAAAAAATTGTTCAATGCATGGATATATATAAAAATTTTTATATTAATAATATTAATAATTTCTATATATATATATATATATATATAAATATGTATGAAATATGTCCATACATCCTTTTTTTTGTAAAATTATTGTTTAATATAATAAAAATAATAATAATAATAATAATAATGAGAAAATGTAAAAAATAATTATAAGGATAATACGAAAATTATTCGTATGATTTATTTTATGTCCTATGCTTATGACTATTATAGAACAGGCATCAAACTTG